GTTAAATCATTTTATTGTTGCTACGCTTACAAACGCACTCAAACTAGTATGCTAACCAGCAAGAGCATATTCAGAGACTGTTCTTGGCTAAATATAGTAATCTGTACCATGGCTAGCTTGCTAGCCAGCTAGCTAAGTTAGTTAGAAACATAAGCAACACCTAAACATTTTGAAAAGTAGTTAACGTACCTTGTCAACAGCGAAGACAGCCGAGTTACGCTGTTAGTTCACAGTGACATCCACGTAAAAGGCAGCTCTTCCAAGTAAAAAAAAACCCAGTTCGACTTTAACTTTTGACGCCTGGACAGCGGTGCTATGGCAACGGGCGCTGGCGCGACGCAATTGGCAAAAAAGGAGAGGCGTCAGAGATTTTTATTGGTCAGCAACGCATGGCACCCGGCGGAGAGCATTTCATTGGTTAGAAATGGAACGAGCTTCGAGCGCGGAGCCATTAGCCATTTCTATGGCAACAGGAAGAGCTGCGATTTGATTGGCAAGAAATGGAGAGGCGCAAAAGGTTTTCATTGGTGAGAAATGAATGGTAAACCGAAGAGAAGATTTCATTGGTGAGAAATGGAGAGGGCGCTGTGAGCTGATTGGAGAGAAATGGAAGCGAGAATGGAGCAGGAGCGAAATGATTGGTTTTCGGAAACCAGACGCTTGTGCTGTAGGGAGCTAACTCCCTTGGCTGTCACCTCAGCCGATATCGTCTTGAGGCGGGAGCACACCGCTCTTCACAGCCATAGAATCTTAATACACTCCCCCTCCGAGCATAATACTATTGGGAATACGCAGAACACTTTCTAGCATGACTTGGCTTTCACGGCGCAGCCGTAGGGAGATACAAGAGTATCCAGCCGATACAAAACAACAGGAAGAGAGTTAGGCTAAAGATCTAAAGGTCATTGCTTTTGCACTAACCATTCAAGAACCTTTCCCAAACAGTGACCCACAGCATATGTGGCGGGGGATTCAAAGTGACACTGTCCACAAAAGCGCTTCACCGAGAATGGCGTTACCTCTGCCACCCACCTGGCCTTATCTCTTGTGGAGAACGAAGACACTTATGTTAGGAAGCAGTTTACTGACTTCAGATCAGCAATCAACAGCATCAAAATCCAGAGACTAATCAACAAAGTCCACTCACATGGTTTGAGCTCCTCACTCTCTTACTGGGTTCTAGACTTGATGAGCAACATCAAGTGCCCTAAACACCGGAACTCCCCAGACCTTTGCAGTGAGTCCCCTGCTGAACACCCATGACTGCGTCGGCTGACATCACAGCACTCACGTCATGGGGTTTGCTGATCACGTTGCAGTTGTGCTCATCTCCAACAACGATGGGACATTCTACAGAGAGAACAGATCTGGTACAAGGACAACAGTCTCTCTCTGAATGTCAGCAAAACAAAAGAGATGATTGTTGACTTCAGAAGGACCAGTGTGGCTCATGCCCCTCTACACGTCACTGGCACAACGGTGGAAACGGTTAACAGCCTTAAAGTCCCTGGGAGTGCACATGATTAGCAAGTCAATGACAAGCAGTTGTCCTGGTTAATATAGCAGACAGTATCTGCCCCTGTCCCGCAGAAGCCTCGTATTGGCTTCCCTGACGATGAGATCACAAGCTTCTTCCAGAGCGCGTTTTTCTCAAACTCGCTAAAGACGATGCGTTGGCCGGGAATCGAACGCGGGTCAACTGCTTGGAAGGCAGCTATGCTCACCACTATATCACCAACGCCAGAAAAGCATTCTGGTGGCCTCCGCTAAAATGAATGCCGGTTGATTTTTATTTGATTTTTTTGATAGAAACGCCTAACAAAAACTGCTGCTCAAAGACCCCTCCTTGGATCACAAGTTTTTGTAGCGTAGCGGTTATGCCATTCGCCTTACACGCAAAAAGGCCCCCGGTTCGATCCCGGGCAGAAACACGTCCTTGTCTGCCTGCGGCCGCTCCCTGTGTGTCGCTTGTGCTGCTGTTGCATCGTTCTATGATTCAGCTTAGTCCGTGGCAAGATGGAGATGTAGATAGATAAAACTTTACTGATCCCGAAGGCAAATTTCAGTGTTACAGTAGCAAGACATATAATTCTTCATAAGCTTACATATATTAGGCAGAAAGAAAAACAGACAAGAATTAGGGAAAAATATGAAATTAGATATAAGTTAGAGTAAAGTATGAGAGAGTAGGAATAAAAATATTTCACACAGGAAATAAGACAGATTTGTTTTATTTACATGAGAGCAGGTATTGCACTAAGTGGTATGAGGTGGTTTACAACACAAGGAGTATAAACATAACTAGGAAATTATTAGCAGCGGCGCTCAATCAAGCAAGAGCCGAAACATTCAGTTGTTTGAAGACATGCCCCACCTGATGGAATAAGCAGAATGAGGTGCTTGTTTTGAATAAAAAAAAACCTTCAGACACTTGCGGCTGCATTAAAGTTCTGGAATTGTTTTGGACGCTAGGCCCTCCAGCAAGGAGACCAGATCGACAGAGCTGCATTTGTGACCTTGAAAAAGGTTTTTGTCACAAAGCTTTCCCACTGCTGTCCCTGGTGGTCTAGTGGCTAGGATTCGGTGCTCTCACCGCCGCGGCCTGGGTTCGATTCCCGGTCAGGGAAGTACACTGTTTCTTGCCAGCGAAAAACATAACCAAAATCAGCTGTCAGCTTGTCCTCACACCTCTTTGCTAAAACGAGACGTCCTTCGAGCCGGATTTGAACCAGCGACCTAAGGATGGCCGTTTGTAACATCTACAGTCCTCCACTCTACCAACCGACCTATCGAAGGTGCCCAGCTCGCTCGTGTGTTCTCCAACTTTCATGGGACACGCTTGAAATTCTGCCACACGCCAACATGCGACACAGTGACTTTTGAGGATCCTGGCTTATGGCTGAATGCCCTAGAGTGCAAGGCATCCTTTTCCTATTACAGCTACCAAAGGAGCCATCAAAGTTAGCAGAGTGCCTGGTGGAACTGATGGTTATTCACAGCTGCATTTCAGCCGAGCTCCAGAAAGAGCCCTTCATCACTTGGTGTAAAATGATACATAAATGAATAGACAGAGAGGATTCGGTGCTCAATCAAGCAAGAGCCGAAACGTTCAGTGGGAGGGAGGGAGGAGAAGGAGGAAAAAGGGGAAGAAAGGGGGAAGAAGAAAACGGGAGAAAAGGAGAGAAAAAGGGAGGACAAGAAAGAGAAAACGAAAGAAAAGGGAAACGTCTCACCCCCAGTTCCCTTTCGGAAGGTTTAGTCGACGTTATATGCCGTGGTGTTTTTAAAAAGTTACAAATTCCCACCTCGATGTGAATTTCAGGACGGGCAGACATGACCGCCATGGCGGAGGATCGAATCCTGCCTCGGACAGAGTGGAAGTTCGCAACGTACAGCCACAAACTGTGTTCATGCTGCTGAAAGTAACGTTGAGTAAGGGGACATGAATGCATTGCAGTATAATGTATTAAATTATGAAATGTATCATTTCCCTTCAGTGATTTAAATACCATTAATGTACATTATAATTATAATTATATAAATATATTTTTTTTCTCTACATAAATTACACAGATTATGTTACTGTTCTTTGACCACATTTCCTATATACAATAATTGTTTGTGTTTGTAAGCATGTTGATTCCCTTTTTTTTCATTATGAGATTACACAAAATTAAATTATAAACTGTAACTTATATTTGTTCATTGATTTTACTTGTATTATGCTTATTACTGAACACTGAAAGAAAACGAGTAACTATATAAAACAGTGATGCTGTAATTGAATTGCATATATTCATTGAACAACGAAAGAGAAATACTTATAAAAACACTGGGTGCTATAAAAACAAGTGAGTGCTGCAAACTATAAAATAGTGAGTGACAATTTGAACATTTGCAAATATTTATTGATGAACATTGATGAAGGCAAACCAGTAACTACAGGAAACAGTGTTTGCTATAACTTATGATCAAAATGTTTACTACTGAGGAACACTGAATCAAAATCAGTTTAACTATAACACAGTGGATACTGTATAACAGAAAGTGCAATCAGCTATACAACAGCAGGTGCTATAAATTAATGCACAGGCTCAACTATTCTCTGCCTCAACACACCTAGTCTAGTGGTGTGTTGAGGCAGAGAATAGTTGAACCTGTGCAGGGCAATGTGTCCCCAGAAGCAGAATGAAAGCACATTGATTTAAATCACAGTAACCACTGTGTGTAGTTACAGTAGTTTACTGTGCAGCACAGTAGGTCCCCATGAGCAGGATCAAGAAAAACTGACTTAGACAATCAAAAATATTCAGCATTGATCAACATAGAATAGAGGGTGGGACAAAACTATAAATAGTTGCTTATCTAAACAGTAGCTTAAATAAATGCAATTATTGAACACAAAGAAATACAATAACCATCTAAAACAAAGGTTATATCTCACACAAGCAAAAGTGCTAAATATTGATGAAGAATTATAATATAATATAATATAATTAATATAATATAATATAATAACCATGAAACAGTGAAAGCAATCACTTAGAGAATGAAAAATGCTTAATACTGATACTGATGAATACCCAAAAAGTAATACAATATGGAATTAATTATTAATATAATAATTAATTCTATAAAATAAAGATATACTATACTATTATTATAACTATAAATCAGTAAGTGCTATAAAACAGTGCAATCAATTATAGAACAAATACTATAATAACATAGCATAATTACAATGTAATATTATCTTAAAATATCTAGACAAGTCAGATATTTAAAAGACAGATATGTTAAAATGTTATATATGTATTAAAAACAATTAGTGCAATCAACCATAGAATAAATAATAATAATAATAATAATAATAATAATATACCATAGACAATTAAAGCAAATATATATAATAGCATAATCATAATATAATATCAGAATATATTATTATAGCTATAAAAGTGTGGGTGCTAAAATGAAGTGCAAGCAACATAAAACAGTAACTACTTCCGTCTCATCTGCTCCAGCCATTCCTCCTTCGAGAGCGCCTCTGTCGAGGGGCAATAGATTGTCCCCTTATACTGGCTGTGCCCTGTCCCAGCTGTCCTGTACTGGCCACATTTCCTGCAGGTGTTTGTGAGGACTTTCTTTTGGTAGGGTTTTCGGCGAGCAGATGTGGTAGAAGTGGTGGCAGGCAATGCTTTAGAAACACTGGCTTGGGTAAGGGGATACTGCTGACTAGGAAGCGGAATAAAAGTAATTACATGGGTTTGTGGGGTACCAAAGAGGACAGGAGGCATGGAAGATGACGGCAAGAACTGAGGAGGCCCTGGGGTTGGAGGCTTTGGAAAAAGCTGCCTCTTTGACGCCACCTTGGGTCTAACAGCTGCTGGGGCAGCCGCAACTGCATCAGTTGCCATCCTCTTAGTTACTGCCTGTCCCGTTGTGTTGTCAGGTAGGTGATAAGTGTGTGGCTCACCAGGTACCTGTGGAGTGACAGCAGGACGCACATTTGCTGCCAGGAGAGTCTCAGCAGCCACCGGGACCCGACTGGGAAGGTCAATGCCCTGCAACACAAGGGCATTGTCTTGCTTTTTCACCCTGCGGTTGTGCCACTGGTTCAGTGTTGTTTGGTTAACTTCCACCAGCTGTATTGATGTTTCCTGCATTATGGTGCCGTTGCCTAAGATAAGCTGCCGTATTTTGCGGTAGTCCTGAAGAATCAGTGACCATCTTGTGAGAGTGGTCCGCCCTTGTTTTTTTGGACTCTTGTGGAGGCCACAAAGCCTTACAAAAATGGCCTCAACAAGACGGCAGCAATCCGGCCACTGTGCCAGCGGAGCAGTGGTGGTAAGGGCGCTTCTCTTCAAGCTGTCCATCCCAGGAGTAAATTCAGCCCTCTTTTTAGGTGACCGGAATCTCCCAGTTGTCAGCTTATCTTGGTGCCTGGCAGCAAACACCACCCGCTGCTTGTCGTAATCAAGCATGTTCTGCCACAGGGCCACAATGGTGCTTGCCTAAAAATGAAGAAAGAAAAAGTATGAATGTTTATGCAGTCAGAGATACCACAAATCTTTATGTGAATTATAAATGTGAGAATGAAATAATGCTGCATTTCTATTTTGCACATAATAAATGCTACTAACCTGCTGTCTGCTGAGGGTCAGAGATGTTTGTGTCCTGAGCTCCACCAGATACTCTGCCAAGCTGTCTACCCGATCCATACCTGGCATGCCATGCTCATCCACTGCCTAAAACAATACACAATTAGTCATGAATGCAGTCACTCGGAACTGTGTAAGTATTATGTTTTTTGCTATACGTTATATTTATGATTAATATTTTAACACATTATTCATTATATTTATTGTGGTGTCTGTCGTGTATTTATATGTATATAACACATTTCTTTGTAGGTCAACTAAACTGAACTTTTTGTATTGACAGTGTGACTGTACTGATAATGGTACTTACCAAATGCTCTTCAGGGACCTGCTGTGGGTCACCTGAGACACTAACAGGAAGGGTGATGGTGGCCTCAGGCTGGACAGAGGGCATTCCAGGCTGGGCAGAGGGCAGCAGTGCAGGCTGGACACAGGGCGATGGTGCAGGCTGGACAGGGGGCAATCCAGGCTGGGCAGAGGGCAGCAGTGCAGGCTGGACAGAGGGCAGCAGTGCAGACTGGACAGAGGGCAGAAGTGCAGGCTGGACAGAGGGCAGAAGTGCAGGCTGGACAGAGGGCATTCCAGGCAGAGGGAAAGAAAACACAATTAGTCATGAATGCAGTCACTCGGAACTGTGTAAGTATTATGTTTTTTGCTATACGTTATATTTATGATTAATATTTTAACACATTATTCATTATATTTATTGTGGTGTCTGTCGTGTATTTATATGTATATAACACATTTCTTTGTAGGTCAACTAAACAACTAAGTATTGACAGTGTGACTGTACTGATAATGGTACTTACCAAATGCTCTTCAGGGACCTGCTGTGGGTCACCTGAGACACTAACAGGAAGGGTGATGGTGGCCTCAGGCTGGACAGAGGGCATTCCAGGCTGGGCAGAGGGCAGCAGTGCAGGCTGGACACAGGGCGATGGTGCAGGCTGGACAGGGGGCAATCCAGGCTGGGCAGGGGCAGCAGTGCAGGCTGGACACAGGGCGATGGTGCAGGCTGGACAGGGGGCAATCCAGGCTGGGCAGAGGGCAGCAGTGCAGGCTGGACACAGGGCGATGGTGCAGGCTGGACAGGGGGCAATCCAGGCTGGGCAGAGGGCAGCAGTGCAGGCTGGACACATGGCATTCCTGGCTGAGCAGAGGTTGACGAGTCAAGACTTGGGAACGTCAGATCCAATGAATGGTCCTCCTCAAACCCCTCATCTTCTTGTTCGTCTTCCTCTGCCAGGTCCTCCAGTAAGCCCTCAGTCTCCTCTGAATCCAGATTGACGTCTTGCAGGGGCAGTCCTGTCTGTCTTAGCAGATAGTCCACACCAATCAGCTCTCCTAGAAGTTCAAGACAATGTTATTTAAAAATATATGCAAATATGTACTTGTCTGAAGAAAGCAATTAATGTAATAATAATAATAATAACAATGTTATGTACCAGTGTACTTTGCAGGGGGTTGAAAAGATGAGACGTATTTCCTGCCAAAAACCTTCAGGCTGTTGGTGTTCACACAGTGAAGGACATCCCCCGCATAGGTCATCAGAGAGGCTGGCTGGCTAGCCACGGATGCAGCTGCTCTGTCCTGATTCCACCTGCTGAGACCTTCCAGGAGGTACAGCTGAAAATTTAAGCTGTTTGCAGTGGTTCCTAGAAAAAACATTTATAACCAAACATTTTAGGTAATTTAGTAAAAAAAAATATTTATTTTGAGATGGCCAAGATGACTGGAACTAACCTGGAATAAATCTCTGCAGGTGGCAGTGAAATGACTCCAGTGATATGGACCCCCTGGCACATCTGTACCTTGTAAGCACAATGCCCCCCTTGGTGGTAGTGCCTGTTTCTGTGTATAGAGGTATCCCTGGCACATCCTGAATACACCTAATGTGTCGTTTCTGAACACGCCAGATGTACTCCATCCTCACCTTGTCAAGCAGAGGGATACCCATTAGGTCTCTGCCCTTGTCTCCTAAGAGCTCGTGGAGCAGACGGTCAATTAGCTGGATGGTGGTCTGCTCTCCACGAGTTCTCCGTCGACAGTGGAAAGCCAGGTCATTCTTAGTAATGCGCTTGTCCACCAAGGCATCACTAATAAACGACACACCCTCCTGTCTGAGCTGCTCACGGACTGCCCGGCGCAGTAAAGCCACATCTTCTGGATCCCACTCAAAAATACAAGATGACAGCCCAGCCATAAAGGTGGGATACAACGCATGGGCGTCTGTGGTGCACCCTTCAGACATCCTCCGCATAAAGTGCCAGATGTCCAGCCTAATTTGGAGGTTGGGCCACTGCGCAAATCGTTGCTGCAGCTTGCTGAGTCCCTCCTCCACGCAGCAGTGGGAATCCACATACAGGACCTTAGGAGGAGCCACGCCAGCCTGGCTGTATCTCTTCATCAGGTCAGATGTCATCAGGTTCAGACCTGCACCCTCCTCAGCAGTGAGAACACTGATGAGGATTTGCCCAATCTCGTTGCCCACAGAGGTCAGCCAGAATGCTGTCCCCCTGCCTATGCCAGCCAACTTCTTTGTGATCTGAAATGACACAAAAGTAAGTACATTACAGTTATGACATTTGCATATACAAACACACACATTTATCTGGTATGCCTACATTATATTGTTAATAACCTTTTTAGTTGAGTCCATCTTTAAAATGGACCCAAAGGTGGATGTGATGGTGGCCTTGATGTGATCCATCCGGCTGATGATGTCTCTGCCATACACAGACAGGAGCCAGCGACTGGTGGGCACATCTATTGGTTCAGGGGGTTCCTGGCAGGCCACTGGGAAAAGGCTGGGGCGGTTCACAAAGCTTGCACACTCCTCCAAGTAGTGGGCCAGCCGGTTCAACCATTCCTCACCGTGGTTCTCCTTTAACTGCTTCACCAGTCGGGTAGGGCTGTTACCCAGAGTCCGGTCCCAAAGCAGACGAATAACGCGGATGTCACATGCATACCTTGATTAGAAAATATGTACAATTAGTTAATATAGATTTTTAGACCTTTTTAGTACTTTTGTTTGGTAAAATACTTCAATACAACAATAGCTTTAACCACATTACTTATGACTACTTATAACTACTTAATATTTTCAGCAGGCACTGATTCAAAACTTTACTGAACTATTATTTAAACTTGTAAAATTACTGAGTAAACTCACTTCTGTGTCAGGATGAGACGGAACATCTTTTGATGGGGTAAGTCTAGCTGGTCCCGGACTGTCTGACTGGTAGACAAAAACGTCAGGCGACACACAGTACACCTGAGGATCTCTGTCACCAGCAGATAGAAGGTATCAATGTCCAGGACTTTGCGCACTCTCTTATGTACACCATAGCCAGTCAGCTGCTTGCCACAGGTTGGACAGAACACCCTAACTTTCCACTGGTGGTAGGGCATCCACACCATGAGCCGGTGGGTGAAAAAGCGGTCTGGTGTTGGAGCCTGATGGTAGATGTGCAATGGCACGGGAGGCTCATACCACAGCTTTAAGTTGGGGCGCAGCTTTCCAGGCATGGTAGAGGGCAGAGGCAATCCATCGTTGATCCTGCACTGGAATCGAGTTCTTCATCTCAACAGGAAGCCAAAATGAAGCAGAAGCAGGACCAGCCAGATCCTCACCCTAAGTACATGACATTAAATATTTTTTTTGAAATTCTTGTTTCTACTTAATTCTTTCTACTTCCTTCCATTCAATCCTTTAAGACTTTTTAAAAAAGGACTGAATGGAATTATTGTTTTCAGCATATGAACAGAAACTAGTGTATTGTTAAAATAAGAACTTACAACAGAGCTGGCAACAACCGTAGACATGGTGGTGGGTGTCTGTGCAGGACTAATACAGCCTGCAGTAGTGGTCCTCAAAGCAGCCTCAGAAGGACTAGGGCTACCTGAAGTGGTGGTCCTAACAGATACCTCACCAGGACTAGGGGTGCGAGGGGTGCCAGGAGTGATGGTGTAGGTCTCATCAGGACTGGAAGGGATGACAGTGTAGATGGATGTACTGCCAGTGCTGGCGCTGCTTGAGGTGACGGCAGGGCAGGGTAGTGGCTAGAAACAAAGAGACATTATAAGGAAATTAAAGAAGTTATAGTTCAAAAGATTTATTCAAGATGATTCATTTGTCGTATCATGCGTACCTGGCATGGCTTACGAGAGACCAAATTAGGTTTGGCCACAGCACTGTGTGTCCCACCAAAACGTTGCCTATCAAACTAAAAGAAGAGGAGCAAATCAAGTAAGTGGTTTAAAAACATCTACGGCAAAGAACATAATTGTGTCTGCCTATAATAAAGCAACAATGGTCAGACAGCATTCATACATATCAATGCATTAAATATTCACCATAGACAAAGTTAGTGCAGGTTGGCGAGGGCTCTGTACTGGGGAAGAGGGGGAGGCTGTGGTTGTGACTGAAGTCACAGGATGACTAGGGGCCTGAAAAAAGAACAAACAGATTATACATACACATATATAGACATCACATCCATTTTTTGAGATCTTCCTCAGCGTCTGTTCCTGATATTTTAAAATTTACCCTGATAATATGAAATCCACAGTTGCAACTCCGATACCCGCGAAACAAAGTGGTTTGTCCACGGGACTGCAGTGGACACTTCTCTATCTACAACGATTCACAATACATAATTTATTTCAAGATTTAAAGCTGAAATGTTGTCATCTTCTAGCTACTACATGAAAACCATTATGTATTTGCATTGGGGTACTGTACCTTCTGATAGAGGTCATACCACTTCTTTTGTCTGGGTGCGGGCCGGTTGCCTGCGTCAGAGGGCCAGATCCCAGAAGCAGCAAACCTCTTTAGGCGTGACATCCACTCGTCATCCCCCATAGCTTTGTGACTTTTAGAAGTCATCTTTCACTAACAGTAACAGACTTACATAAAATATAGACATGTATAGAGATATGTATGTATATATATATATATATATATATATATATATATATATATGTATATATATACTTGTCTAGATATTTTAGGATAACATTATATTGTAATTATGCTATGTTCTTATAAAATTGTTACATAATTGATTGCACTGTTTTATAGCACTTAACTGATTTATACTGATTTATATATATACACACACACAAATATTTCCACAGTCTCTCCCACTCCTTACTTTCCCTCTCCCTCCCCTTTGTTTTGTTTATTCACTCAGGGTCGTATTTCCTCAAAGTAACGTTAAGTAGACATGACACCTAGGCCTATTATAGTCAGATTTACAGATTTTTGACGGTCCTAAATAGCCACAAATATATATATATATATGTAACCAAACTCTGTAATGACTATGTTTACATAACATTAACATTACGTGGCTGCCTTGTTTCTAATGACAATTTCAGCACGTTAAACCGCATTTCCGAACTAAAGTATGACTTTACAAAGCAAACAATGCGCATTTGATCAATACAGTAATTCATGGTCAGCAATTAATAATACACCTCACAATAAACGTTGAAACAAAGGACGAAATTCACCTAATCGTAGCCCCCTCAACTCCAAGGAACCGTGGGCGGTTCAAACCATCCGACCTGGCCATTCGCATCGACATAACTTGCGTATCAGTTCCATTTCCAGAGTAATTACTGAACGATACGCTTCAACATGAATAACGAAATAGTAAGCATGGATTTTACAGGGTTTAATGGCCATTCATTCAATGCTCTTTATCTAAAGTCAGCGATAGCAATCTTTGCTCACTGCCATGTAAGTTAGCTAACGATGTCACACAAACAACATGAGAAACTACACAGCGTTAGCGTTATACCAATAGAAAACATAAAAATTCATTTTATTTAACCAATCCAGAAATGTTAACCTTTATTAATTGGCCTGCAACCACATAGCAAGGTAAATAACACTTTAGCTAGCTAGGTAGGCACACTGTTTACATACCGTCACGAAGTAAAATGTAAAAAAAAGCAAAATGACAAACTTCTGTGTAGCTCAGCAAAATTTGCGGACTCTGACTGACGGCTGAGCAGATAAAGCCCTCAGAAATGTAAATGACTTACCTACTGCGGTGACAGTGACAGACTCCTGTATCCTCTAAAGAGTGATCTGAGTTTTTGAGGTGTGAGAGCAGTCGCTTCTTTTTCTTCTTCTTCTTCTTCTTTCTCGATAGGTGACGGACTTCGGCAATGGAAATTACAGTATTTACAGTATTTATATACTGAATAAAGATTTGGAGGGAAGCCATTTCTTTGGATTAAATTTATATCATACGAGCGGGAGAGGTTTTAATTCGCAATTAGCTCAGTATCGTACGAGCGGGAGATGTTTTAATTCGATTAAAAACTGAACAGTAATTCGCTAACTTTATTTCGAATGTACATCAGGATTAAAAACATTAAATAACGTAAAACAAATAAACTCTCTCATGTTTTTCAGACAGCCAGCTCTTTAAATCTCCCGGGCCAGGGGCCACGCATCTTCCAGTTTCAGCTCCCCCGCTCCCCGCTTGGCTGTGGTTGGCTGTTGTCCATTTTCGTCCGTGAAATGAGTGGCCGCAGCTGCTGTGAAAAAGGAAACGGAGCGCTGCGATTCGCGTCGTCCATTTTCGTTCCTTTTTCAACTTTGATGGTGATTGGTCGAGCAACCCACACTCATGTGTTGCAGGT